TATATATATATATATAAAATCTATGAAGCACAATGAAACTAAACTTTCACTCTTATTACCTGATTGACCAAAATCCCCTAATAATCACACTTACTCAGTGGGTAAAATTTGTAATTATAAAAAAAAGTGTGTTTTACACATTGGCCTGGTTATTTCTAGAATCTTGTATTTTACATTAAGCAGACTAACAGTCATCCTGAAGAGGGCAGTCAGACAACATCAAAGGGATGCTGTAAAAGCTTAAGTAATATCAGTAGGGCACTGTTCTGTTAAACCTGCTATATTAAAGCTGGACCATCTTTACTATTTGAACAAGATAAGATCCCTTCATCCCGATGCTATCATTCTTCTTAGTCTACCTTGAACTTCTGCTGAAACAATATTTATGGAAAATTCAGATACTCCAGTTATGATCCAGCTATTTGATAGAACACTCTTGTTCCCCTTGATCTCCATGTATTTTGCATCTTTAAATTAAACTATTTTGAATTAGTATAACGGGCATCTACCTTTTCAGAAAGTAACATTTTGCAAAAAGTCCTCTTAAATTTTCTGCAACAGATTTGAAATTCAATTTCTTCCTCTCACTGAAGCTAGCAAAGTATTCTGTCATATAACCTTATAGCAACTTTTGGTAAAAAGATAAGCAAAAGACTAACTATAAGCAGCACAGCTGTTTGATTTGAATCACTACAAAAGTTATTCGAATTCTAAATGTAAATATTTCCATTTACATATTGAAATCTAACTCTTCATTCAAGGAGTGAATAGACAACTGAAAAGCAATACTTACATGCCCTTTGAAAGCAATGCTCCTACCTTTCTCACTCTGCACACAACTGTTTCCATCTCTCAAAGAATTTAATATTATCCTTCTCATTTCTAGAAGTAAATAAGCTCTACCCACTAATCAAAATTAAATTAATATTAAAATATTTTAGAAACAGAAAAGTGCTGAACTTGAAAATAAAGCAAAATAAAGGCCTTTTCCTGCTCATCATCTAGAAGACCCTTTATTCGTGGTGCCCCTCATGTTTTCCAGTATTACTGGACATACACTTTCTGTTGCAGAGAGCCATCCACAAAACATAAACAGCACACAAAAAAGAAATATTGTTTCTGGTAGTGACTTTGGTCGAGAACTGAAAGCCAAAACGTAAAGGGAGAAGACGGCTTGTGAAGAAGTGATAGAGATAATTCAATGAGGGAAATTTAATACATACTTTTTAAAGACAACAAACCTACATGCACTATTACCCAGTCCAGTTTCATTTCTTCCTATCACTGTAAATACAATACAAACAAACACACACAATGCAAGATAGTGGCTTACTACTAAGTCCCTCAATTCAGTCCCCCCACTCTCTCAAAGACTCGCCTGTATGAGTAAGTTTACAAATTGCAAGTAGTCCCATTTACCACAATGGGACTACTCACAATATTACATAAAGTTAATGTCGTGAGTCTCAGTAGAATTGGGGACTATGCGAAGCATGGGCAGAAGTGAGTATAACAAATAACTGGGGGGCCTGTAGGAGTGAGACTGAAACAAGGAGGGACAGGGAATACAAAGTTACAGGACTACTACGTACACAACCAAAGAACTTCATATAGTTATTTTATTGGAACTACAATAAATCAATATTCCACATACACTATATAATTTCCTATGGACACACTACAGATGCAATCAACTGCATGAATAATATTTTGAAGTGTTGGTTACTTCTTTCCACATGAACCAGTATTAAAAAGCATAAGCATTTTGTTCAAAAAACCTCACTTCCGGTTAACATCAGTTAGTATCAATACTAGCCAGGCCAACATCATATTAAGGAAAACTGAAACAGAATATCAGGAAAAAGAGTAAAACAGACTGGAATTCTTGCCAAAGGAAGCAGTAAAAGCTTTATATTTTGGCACACTATAGGCTGTACAAAACATTTAGAAATGTACAATCAGCAAAGAACGCAACAGCAGATGACCTACCAGGTACTAGCCATCTATTTAAAGTAAACTGTCATCAGTGCTACTATTTATCTCAACAATTATTTTGCTGTTTTTATCTGGAATAGTTTTTGTAAAATGAAGAGAGGAACAGGTTAAAAAGCATATCTTAATTTCTTCTTGGTATCAAGATAATAAATTTGGTAGGTTTGTTTGTTGTATTCTTAGTCAGGTTTTTGTTTCAGGGTTGGTTTGATTTGTTTTACTTGGTTTTCTGCAGACCCATAATGTCACGGCTAAAAGCATTAAAGCCTCTGTCCAGAAAATTCACCACACACTATGAAATGAAGAGACTATGAATACTGGTTGAAAACTATACCAATTTTACAATCTAGATTTCTATAACAATACAAAGCAAGTCAAAATCCATGATATTCTATTTATAGCATCCCACTCTGTGTTCAGTATTTGGTAGATGAAAAGAAGCTATGACAGCAGATTTTGTAGAAGTTGCACAGTACAGAGTAAATGAATCTGTGACCACAAAAAGAGAAAGGAGCTACCTACGGTCCAGATAAATAATTACTGCCCTGGAAAACCAGACTTCATCCATACTGTTACCGAGATACTGAAGTGCACTGGAAAAGCAATTGAACAACTTTCAGTTTTCTCCCTCCACATTTCCTGTTCCTTTTTGAACAAAGGTTCAAAAGATTATTCTTTTTCAGTACATTCAAGAGACATAGCAACGATTTTCATGCTACCTGCTCTTGATCAACAAGCAAAAACTGAAAGGCAGAGGATCCTGGTCTTCCTTTGCGATGACATCTCCTTGATTGTCAGAATTTCCTGATAAGCAGGGCATTCTTCTTGTTGTTGACCTACTCTTTGATCACTACTTGAAAACTTTTCTGAGAGCTTCTTGAACAAGGAAACCAAACAGATTTCCTTTGTTTTCTATCAGGATGAAAAACTTCCCCTTGGGTGTCTCTTGTTCATAGGACAGACACTAATGAAATTAGGTGAAACCTGTTCTCTCATGTATTTTGTCACTTTGTTCTGCACGTTGTGAGTCAACAGCAGAAGGTAGCTATATTGGAACCCTCCAAGAAGCACACGCTACAATAAGCTCAAAATTTAACAATACACCATGTGTTGAATCATAACGTGCCTTTTGTACAATCCTGAAACAAAATATATAAGCAATAGCTATAAGCAGTTGACTTGGAGCTCACTCTCCAGCAGACTTTTTGCAGTGGTTACAAACTTTTTCCAGTAGATGCCATCTATCATTTCTGACAGAATTCAGCCTCATCACTCAAATGGAACACCAGAGGTCATTAGAAAACGTGCCACATCTGCAGAACTGACCCGTCTCCCTCATACCCTATATACATACACACACACACACACACATATATATATACACATAGGTATGCATGTATTTATACATACATACATGCACACACAATTCCTGCTAATGGGAGTAATTAGTGTTCCTTTCAAAACAGTTTAACTTCCAATATTTAAAAAACACCACACTCTGGTCAATACAATAGGTCAAAAAATTACGAGTTCCAAAATTCTCTCTATATTACAAGCCATTTCCAGCTTC